AAAGCATCCATGCCGAAAGTTTGATTAACTTGACCTTGTGCAAATTCTGTGTACAATTGTATGTTGCAGCAAATAGCCAAAACTACAGATATTCATGAGTCTGATGACCTAACATGTCAACAAGTCAACATTTTACAATGCTCTTCCCCATCCAGAGGAATGGGGAATGCTCTTCCCTCTTTCTTAGTGATCTCTAATCCTTGGGTTGGGGAGAGGTTAATACAGAGGAGCATCTGAGGCTGAGCCCTCAGAATCACTCTTCCTCACAGTGCTCTGTCCAGTCAGTCATGTCGTCCAATAGTGTTCTCAGAACTCTAATTAGCATAGTTTTAAATATACTGATATCTAATGAAAGACAGAAGACAAGTATATGAGTTGTAAACACTATCTTTGTGTCTGGCTTAGAAAATATTTATACTAAGGTTTGTAATTTTTTTTAGAGCCAGGAAAATCTGAAGCCAAACAAACAGCTACAAAAGTCACAGCACAAGGTAAGTAATCAACCCTTTAAAAATACTACTGAGGCATTAGACATAAAGCAAAACAAATAAACAAAACAGAAACAACAACAACAGCCCATAATTTACAATCCCAGAGAACCTAGACAACAAAGAGGACCCCAAGAGAGACATACATGGATCTAATGTACATGGGAAGTAGAAAAAGACAAGATCCTCTGAGTAAATTGGGAGCTTGGGGACCATCGGAGAGGGTAGAAGGGGAGGGGAGAGGAGAAAAAATATCTAGCTCAATAAAAACAATTAAAAATAAATAATAAATAAATAAGAACACTATTGCTTTTTCTTCTTCTGTTCATAGCATTTTATTGACAAAGCAAAAGCTGTTTATTGCAGAAGAGCGCCATCTGCTGATTGTTCTTCTGCAGTAAACAAACTGTTGCTAGATATTTTTAAAATTGGAAATAGATTTTTTCATACAAATATTCCGAATATGATTCCACTCCCACAAGTCCTCCAAGATCCACCCCTACCTCCACATTTATCCAAACCCACATCTTTTCATACTCTTCCCCATCAGAAACCAGACATCTAGAATAGAAATAAAATAATATAAAATAAAACAAGCATACCTGAATGGAACAAAACAAACAAAAAACCCCAAAGATTCAAACAAAAACATAAAAGACACAAATATAGACATATAGACATACACATTGTAACACGAAGAAATTCCCCATTAAAGCAAAATAAGAAACTAATATTACAGTTATAAGTAGAAGATTTGTTAAAAGAAAGAAAAAAAGAAAAAAAACACATAGCCAAAGCATTGTGGGATGAAAACACTTCCAGAGATACCACTGAGTATATTTTGTATTGGCCATCTACTGCTGGGGATGGGGCCTGGCCCTAAGGGTGGCTTGTGTCCTTAGTGAGACTCTGTTAGAGAAAACAAACTTTTTATTTGTGTCTAGTTACAAATTGGAGACAGTTTAAGGATTAGGGATGGGGGCTTGTCTCCAGTTCTGCTCTCATCACTGGGATCACATCAGGCCCAGTCCTGTCTAGGCTCTGTGCATGCTGTCACAGTTTCTGTGACTTCATGTTATCATAGATCCCATTGTGTTTGCTTGGTCTTGGGTGTATTTCCTTGGTGTCCTTCATCCCTTCTGGCTAGCACATGCTTTGCACTTCCTCTTCTGCATGGTTACCTGAGATGTGTTGTGGGAATGATTATTGGAGACATCCATTTATGACTGTGTTCCAAGTCTCTCATGCTCCACACATTGTCCAGCTGTGGATCTTCTGTATCTATTACCATGTACCGCAGGAGAAAGTTTCTCTAATGATGACTGAGCAAGTCAAATGACTATGGCAAAATGTCCTAATGAGTCTTTTTGTTGGCATGTTCTTTATCAATGTATTATTATGTTGCTTTCTCCTATGTTCCTGGCTTGTGTAGTCTCAGATTCTTGGCCACCCAAGTAGTGTTAGGGATGAGTTCCATCTCATGGATTGGCCATAAATCAAATCAAATATTGTTTGCTTACTCTAACAAGATTTGTTCCATCATTAAGTCAGAAAATCTTGTTGGCAGGTTACGATTGTATGTCATAGAATATTACTATAAAATGTGTTACTTTTTTATGCTGTGGAACATTGATGCAAGGATGTGCTACATTCTTTCATGTTGCATTTGTTTAACTGGGTGAAACTTTACCTCTTTTCCTATCTGAAACACCTGAGCTCACTGGCGAAGCAGGAGAGAGAAATAGGCGGGGCTAGCAGGAAAGAATAAATAGATAGGAAAAAGAGCAAATAAAGATAGAGGAGCAAAAGAAGGAGGAGGAGGACATCATGGGGCAGCCACCCAGCTACACAGGAACTCATGGAGTAAGTAAATAAAGGCATATAAAATGCAGAAAGATAAAACTCCAGAGGTAAAAGGCAGGCAGGTTAATTTAAACTAAGAAAATTAAATTAAATTAAACCTCGCTAAGACTGGGCCTTCAAAAAAAAAAAAAAAAGAATAAGCCCCATTATTTGGGAGCTCGGTTTCAGGCCACCTAAAGAACCAAAAGAATAAAGAGAAAAAATGAATCACAATCGTAAGCTGAAGGATTTGAAGCTGGGTTATTGTTCACCTTTCTACTTTGGTGGCTTATAGAGTACCTTCCAGTACCATGAACACTGGTCTTTAAAGCAAGTATTTCTTTAGCTACTTGAACAAGTTCTATTGAGAATGATGCTGAATCTACATACCTGAAGAAAAGCAACCAGTGCATTGCCTCTAAGATTCATTCAAGATGCTTTAATACATATTTTCAAAAACAAACCTCAAATAAATACATAAAAATGCATAGATTAACTATTACCATAACAATTTTTAATGGGTTGGTTACATCAGTTATATTTTATGACTGGTTTCATATTAAAACAGTCTATTGGAATGTTAGAAAATCAATATTATTATCTAAATGCTTTCATTGCAAAAACTGGATTCCAGATATACTACAAAAATAATTAGCTTTATGAACCATACGAGAACATTACTTCCATCACTCACTGATCTATCTCCTCCGGGCTTAAAAGTACAAATGTTGTATTCTCAAACCAGTAGCAATTAGACAAAACACAAAAGGGAGACCCAAGAATTCTGCTATTGTCACCTATGAAAAGTTTAGAGAATAGTTTAAGAAAACAATAGGGAAAATATTCATCGAACAGGAGATCCATTTTCTCTTCTACACTGGATTATTCAGTGCTGAGATGTTTAGCAATAAAAGAGATACATTTAGACAGTGGTATGATTGTTTCTGGGTAGAGGGGCCTCGCAGCAAACTCATTAGCATACAGTGTGTTGTGAGATATGACTGAATGTATTGCATCTGACCTAAATCTTATTTATCAGCAATTTATGCAAGCATGGTTAAGGGCTAGGGAGCTACTTTTAAGTTTTCTTGCTGATTACCAGTTCAACAAAATTGCTTCTTCTTTACAAAAGTTTATATAGGAAATGTAATAAATATTATTTGAGGTAGAAAATCAGAGTGAGTCTATATGAAAATATATATCAGGGTAAATTCCATGGGCAAATAACTTTTCCTAAAAAGAGTTCTTATTGTGTTCGTGTGTGTGTGTGTGTGTGTGTGTGTGTGTGTGCGCGCGCGCATGTGTACCTGAGATTTTAGGTCCTTCTATTTTACTTCGAAGTTCTGATAATGATTCAATGGTTGAAGAACAACTTGGGTCAGGAATTAAATTAGCTTAACAGTCAAATGCAAATGGAATTGAACAGGAAGGGTTGGAAAGACATGTGGAAACGCACTTCACATTTCAGTTAAGGACCACAGGCTCAGTGATTTACACCAAAGCACATTTTAGGCAAGGCAACATCTGAAAGTTTGGTGTTCAAATAAAATAAATATTGTTGAATTACTATTATTTCAGATAATGTATTATTGTTGAATTCATCCTTGACTAGTAACCTTGAGTCTCTTCATGGCATTAGAGCTCTTCTTGATAGGAAGGCAGCTGCCAGTGTTGATTTAGCCCCCTGAGCAATGCAACATCCAATTCTGTAGGATGTATTCAGAGAAAAGGCAATGACATACTCAAATAAGAAACAGCAGGATGGGAATAATCACTCTCAGCACTGCAGAATTTCCAGAGATCATTCATTTAGCAGATACATAATTAAACTATGTACAGAAACAAAGAAATAATTGATGTTTTCAAGAAATATAGGAAGGGACAAAGTTTATACACTAGTGACAATAAAGTCATAATAGATAGACAGTTTGGAAGTAGACCAAGTAAAACTGAACCCTAAGTATAACATGCCATCAAATAATAGCTGAAATATTATCTTATTTATTATTATTATTTCATTATTATTTTATTGTTTCTAGATTATTTTAGAAAGATTGATTTGATATAAGTATAGATTTTTGCAAGTACTTAAAGAAATTTAAATTTCAGAGGCTTTATTCTTTGTAGAATTCATAAATGGTATTTTTGGTATATTCTTACTGCAAATGAAAAATAAACTTAAAACCAGCATATATTTCTTCAGGAGCAAACTTTATATTTTGTAGAAAATCATTTACATTTTTTGATGGATACAGACATAGTTTATGTTTTATGACTTTCAAAGAGAAGTTGTAATTTATAAGATATAACAATGTGTAAAATTTAAATGGAAAAAGTGATTTACAGAAGGATAAACTTGTCTTCTTGTTTATGTAATTCAATATATATAACATANATTTATATAGTTTTAGCTATGCAGTTTTGGTGGACTTAGTAGTTCCTGGGCTATGACTGAATTTATGAGTACCTAGGATGCATATTTATTTTATGAGGTATATTCTAAGTAATGGTCAGTTAATATTTTAACAATGTTTGCTTTCCATTATTTCAGCAGCTGCTAAAAAGGATGAGAAGAAAGAAGGTATGTTTTAATGTTTTACATAAAATCCCACTGTACCATTTGCTCGAACAATTTACCAAGACTCAAACTGGGTGTCCCTGCTCTTTTTCCCACATTCCTATTGGATTACTGGAAATATTAAGCACCTGCATTTTGCACAAATGTGCCCTTTCTATTTCTGCTCGCCCAAGGGATGAGCTCCACTCTCAAAATAGTTTCAACATGACTTTTCTCAAGACAAAGTATAAAGTATAGTCTGTCCAAATCTTAGTCCTCTTACTCTGTTGGAAACTTGATAAAGTTCTGTTGATTTGTAAAATGCAGAACCCTTTCTCCTTGAGTCCTTTTACATTGATCATACAGAAAAACCCTGACTTAACAATCTTCTTCTAAAGTCAATATAAATTATAGTCAATCCTTATCTATCACTTCCACACCCATTTATATTGGGGCAACATAGAGTAAACATGCCTCTTTAAACAAATTATAATGGATGAATTATTAAAGCAAACATTTCATTCAATACTGTTGTGATGAGGGTAAAGTAACACAAGGATAGAGAATACAACTTCACAAAAATAAAAAGACTGGAAGATAGTGTGTGTTGTGGTGAATCAGACAATAATTCTGGAAGATACTAAACTATGGGTGATCAGGATGATTAGGCCATGTTTCTCCTGATGACCACATACCAGACTCAGACTTCTCTTCCAAGAGTGCTAACTTTTTTTTTTAAATAATAATGATTACAATATAAATGCTTTAGGGGGGTTCATATATCAAAAAAGTTGAGAAGGTATTTACAATGACAATAATTCTAAAGTAAAGGAGAGAAAGAGAGAAAGAGAGAGAGCGCACAAACCAGCAGAGGTCTATAGACATAATGAAGTCTAGCTATGGTTAATGAAGCATGGGAGGAGAGAAGACTGATCTAGTTCCCATCATCCTCTTCTCGGAGATGTTTCTAGTGCACGTTCACACGTTTGCAACATGTTCCACCATGGCTAATTAATCTAGGCTCATTTTTATTGCAAAAATATCATGCAGATATAAGAAAACACTGTAATGTGGGAATGACATCTATAATCTCATTAGTGTTCATCTGATCAGAGAATGATAGGAAAAAACAAAGGTTATATTTTATACTTAACTTTATTAGAATTTTATGTAATCACATTCTGGTGAAGTTCACAATTTGCTTCTGTTAAACAGAAAGCAAAGAGTTAATATGCATGAAAAAAGGAAACAAAACAAATCCTTGTTTATTATTTTAGACAGGAAGAAGTCACACTATTATGATAAAGACCACTAGGACACATCACTGTGTTTCCTCTGCCATTTCAATCTGTATGAATTCTCTATTTAAATGCAGTAAATCTTTTCACACTGATCTTCCAAATGATACCATGTATATTCCCTTCTTAAACACTTTGGAAAACACTGTAATGTGGGAATGACATCTTAGAGATGTCATGAGAACAAAGAGGTGGTAAGTTCCCAGCACAGTTGTATACAGTGTAAAATTTCGGAAGTGTTTGCTTGTCTGTTTTCCTGCTTTAGTATTTCAGTAGTAAAATTAATTTATATTCTAATTTGGGTAAATAATATTAATAACTGTTTTTGAGATAGTCATGGAAACAAATTAAACTTTGGTGTTCCTGTGAGTTCATTATGCTAAATTGATTTTTATTCAGAAATTCATTAACTATAAAACAAAAATATTAAGAAAACCATGGTATATGAAGCAGTAAAGCAATAATCACATTATAGTTTCATATATTAGAGCTGAATGATTGCCCCTAACCCATTGTTATGCCTCCAGGACATTTTCTAGTTTTGCTTTTGCTTTACTAATATACCTCAAATCAGTTTTCTTGAGAAATTCTCCAAATCCCTATGTGAGTAGCTGGAAATTTTTCCCATAGAAATTCAACTGTTGAAAAAAAGCAAAACACTTTTAATATAAGACTCCAAAACTCTACTGAGCTAAGTTGCAATTTTCCACTGAACCCTGACATTTAGTCGTTCATATACTTCAGGCTCATTGACCTCTTCATTGCTCTATTCTTCCTAAAAAATGAAATGAAAACTGTAATCTGTACTTCAGTGAAGTACAGCCTTCAGCCATGTCGTTGCTGCTTGCATGTCACTGTGATCTCATATGCTCTCAGGTCAACTAGAGTGATTGATCACCCTTAAAGAGCAGACAATTTTATAGTGTTCAGTGACTTCAGAGATTCCCTGAGACCTTTTCCATATTCCCCCAGGAGGAAAAAAAAACAGCGTTCTAAAAATTTAAATGCATTTTGTATTTTTCTTTCTCCTCACATGAATGTTTACTTGAACTTTCCTGAAGCTGAAGGAGGTCTGACTTTGAAAGAGATAAATGGCTAAGCAGATATACCAATCCAACTGTCATCTCGTTAGGTCAGATGTTAACAAGATTCACAGAAGCATAGAAGGCATAGTCATTCATCTCACTATTTTTGTCAAAAGAATTATATATGTCATAAAGTGTGATATCAATGTTCATTGTAACAGATTTATTGTTGCTAATAATTTATAAGTATGTTTGAAATGTTCTCAGCTTACTTTTCAAGCTATCAACACCAATTAAAATAAATAGAAGCCGTTTGTGGTCCTTAGTGGTTTTAGCCATTGAACAGAATCCTGAAGGGAAAATATTTGAGACTGTGACAGAAATAAATATCCTGCCCATACTAGTTATTCATTCTACAATATTAAACTGTGTTAATTAAAACGTTTAAATCATTAGCTGTCTGAAATATTGAATGACTCCACTGTGACTATAGAATGGATACCTCCAATTTTAAACTGAAATTAAAGTTCTCAAGTCCACTTTCACACTTGCTTTCCATACTTGCTGTCAGGCATACAACTTGGCAGCCCAAGACCACAGATCAAATACTTCCAGGGGTCAGGCATGGGAAGTCCTTTGGGACTAACACAATATATTACTTTCATAGATATAAAAAATTAAAACTAGCTGAGGGTGACTGCCTCACGTTGTCCTTTTCCCACATGAAAACAAGATGAGATATTAACGTCAGCAAACAAGTTAGAATCACTTCCACAGGAGCCAATTCCTCCCATGATGATATAATTTTGTGAACTAATGTTCGCTTCCTTTGATCCATGGCTAGAAGACTGAGGTGGAGGTGAGAAAATGTCTTCACAGTCACATGGGAGAGATGAAGGGGTCTTGGGAGGATTAGTCCCATCAGCTCATCACAAGCCTTCCACAAGGCTATGTTTTAATAGTACTACTAGGGATCCTATTAAGATCAGTGGAGTTGGGAATTTAGCTTGCATCGCTAGTGGCTATGTACAAGGCTACTAGGGTACTACAGTGAGGGTGTCACCCTACATGCTAACTCCTGCTCTTCCTTTATTACTTTAGGCAAAGTTGCTCTCAATATTGCATATATAATAATGTCACGACTCTGGTATTGTTGCTATCTGAATAGAGCTTGCTGTTCTCTTTCCTCCTATGAACAGAACATGCAATTGTTTTAAGGCTCCAGTGATACCTCCTTTCTGTGAGAAGTTTGATCCTCTCACTTAAGAATACTGAACTAGCCTGGCGGTGGTGGCTCATACCTTTAATCCCAGCACTTGGGAGGCAGAGGCTGGCTGATCTCTGGGAGTTCGATGCCAGCCTGGTTTACAAGAGCTAGTTCCGGGATGGGCACCAAAGCTCAAAGAAACCCTGTCTCAAAAAACAAAAACAAAACAAGAATACTGAACTAGCCAGGAATTGGTGGCACATGCCTTTAATCCCAGCACTTGGGAGGCAGAGGCAGGCAGATCTCTGTGAGTTTTAGGCCAGCATTGTCTATAAGAAGTAGTGTAGGACAGGTTCAAAAGCTACAGAGAAACCCTGCCATAAAAAAAATACTAAACTATAATATGCCACTGAAGTGTACTCATATTGCTCTACCACTACGTGTTTCTTGTCCTCTTGTGCTCTGTGCTGCTTATATTAATTTTTTTGTTTTAATTGATTGAGTCTATTGACTGAAAGGGCTGTATCCAATTTAATTTAATCATTGTAAGTCTTAATTCTTGTTTTGTTTTGTTTTCTTTTTTTTTTTCTCAGAAATTAGGATTAAACTCAGGGCCTTATTCTTGTTAGGCAAGCACTCTAGTTTTAAACTGAATACTCAACCCAATTAGTGATGTTATGTTGTTGACACAGTGCTCAACAAATAAGCATTCTCTGAGTAAATAAGTAATGTCTGAATTCTTAAATATAAAAGTCATAAGAACAATGTATAAACAGCCATTTTCCAAACTATTAGTCTAGCAATGATGATGACTGGGTATTACATTTTTATGAGTTTTTTTTTTTCTGAAGTTGTTTGACTTTCTTTTGGGACCACCAGTTCACATAAAAAAAAAAAAAACTGAGACTGTTAGACTGCTTATTAATTAAGAAACCTTGGTCATCAGCATAGGCTTGTTCCGTTAGCTCTTATAACTTAAATTAACCTTTTTGTGTTGTTGTTTTGTAGGCGAGGGTGGCCTCAGATTCACAGAGATCCACCTGTTTCTGCCTCTCCATTGCTGAAATTGAAGGAATGCAGCACTACTACCTGACCAAATTTACCTGGTTTTATTCATCTACATTCTGTCTTGTGGTTCAGTTTCTCTATTCTGTACTATATGTTCTAACATACAGTTCTCCCTGGCATCTCTTGTGCACCTAGATTTTAACCTCAAGTTTTTCTCTTTCTCTGGAAGTTCTTCCTATTCTCTCCTACCTAACAATAATTTGTTAAGTAACTAACAAGCAATATCAATCCACTCATTTTCCACAATAGTAGAAATCATTGAATACATACTAGGTATGTGTTGACTATTGAAAAATGTAGAAGAAATTTCACATAGACCACCATAGACAGAACAAATGAGAAACTAAAAGCTAATTTTATGGATTCTTACTCATCTTTAGAAACACTGACTTTCTATTACAAAGTTAATAACTTCTCTAACCACAACTTAAGTATCAATAAAAATTAGATGTAGATTAGATGTAGATATTTTAGTTTATATACCTGTCTATGCTTTATGCTTCAGAAAGAACCTCTTGACTTATAATGTTCATCCTTTGGAAAGCAAGGCAATTTATTCTTAAATAATTTTAAAAGTAGTCATCCTATTGACTAATTTAAAAATAATTCTGAGGTTATGGAAATTTTATTGTTAGTTTAGTCATATCTACAGTATCAATAATTTATCTTTGCATTTTCAGATTCCAAGAAATTGAAAAAAACTCCAGAAGGTATAAGAAACACTTGAAATGCTTTCTTATTGGGTGTGTGTGAACAGGGGGGTTGGTACTTGGTACTTGATGAGCCCTTAAATAGCATTTTATTACTAAAAGACACGTCTAGAAGAAAATCCTGTATATAAATGAGAAAGAGGGAAAAGAAAGAGAAAAGAGCAAGGGGCAAGTAAGACAGAGAGAGCTCTCTGACAATATTGCCACTAGAAGTATTTAACAGTGACAAAAATAAGAGATCTGGAGCTGTAACTCAGGGACAGCACACTTGTTTATCGTGCATAAGACTCCATGCTCAAGCTCTAGTAAACACAAAACACCAATAATTGTTCATATTTGCCTATCATGAACTGTTTCAAAGATATGATTATTTTATGACTCTTAACAATGTTACATATCAAATACACAAATTTAATAAGTTCAATATCATTTTGACATAGTGTCATCTGTTTGGAATTGAAGTATACATTCTTTGTCTTGACTACAATCATGATCTATTTGGCAAATGCATCCTCTGTCTTCCGTAATTGTGTATGTATAAGGTGTTTACTTATGTGTGTTAAGACTACCGGGTATAAAACATTCAGGTCATTAAGCAGAATAATTCAAGACCTCTTCTGTTTCTGTCAATCAACTTATAGATCTACCTGGGATAATTAGTGAAACCTCGAAGCAAGATTCCCTGTGAAATTTAAAAGGAAAAGTAATGGGGAGGTGGGTTGGGGAGAGGTACTCTAGCCACTGTTTTGTGGTAAACATATCTCAAAATCTTTTAAGAGCAATTGTTCCCTGCTTCTTTTTCTTTCTACAGAACAATCCAAGGGGAAAAGTAAGGAAATGCATGCAACGCCTGTATAAATATGTTGCCTCTGCTATATATAATCGCCCTGCTGGTGCTGATATGTTTATGTTTCAAATTTCTGTGTTTAATGCATGTGGACTCTATTTTTATTTTGATTTGTTTATTTTAGTGGCTTTACTTTATTTATTGGTTTTCGGCATACTGGAGTATATGTAAAAAGGAGGTTATAGTAGCACAGAAACTATAACAATAATTCTCACTCATGTGGGTAGTTAATTCAAATCTTTAATTTCCTACCATAACCGCATTCCATTGGTTCCCAATAATATAAAGCTTGTGTTAGTTTAATGTTGTCATCTATTCCTGCCTCCAATCTTAGAAAACAGTGAGTGCTGGTTTCAAGACTCTTCCATATTATCCTTTTGTAATCTATAAATACCTTGTCTTGTTCACATTCCACCTACTGTCAGCACTGTAAGACCATTGCAATAAAATTCTAGGGATCCATTTCTTAAGGATCTTCCACAATTATTCAACACACTATTGAAATTGCTCGCCAACAGTTCAGTAAAGCTATATGCCTCTAGGTTTGTGTTTTGCAAAACTAAGATATATTTAACAAATATAAACTAAGGGACAATAAACTCAGCCATTAAAGTTACACACTTCTGGAATATAGAGATAGGATTCTGTTGACATTTAAAATTCTGCTTTAAGATATACATCAACTTAAAAAAATCAGGCATGTTTTGGTTGTACTGAAAGTTAGGACACTGAAACACTCTGTCATGAAAACTGCTCTGACATGTCCTGTGGAAAGAAACATGAAATTATGCTACAAACCTGCCAGAGGGAGCAATTTATCTGTAGAGAAATATATATGGTCCTTCAGGCCTGGATAGATGAGTGTATATAGCTGCTCTGAGATCTGGTCCAAGGATTCAGAAAACATAACATAAACCATTGCACCTGCATGAACATGGAGGCAGTCAGAGATTTGAAAATGTGGTTCATTTTTGTACCAACCATAGTTCCCCCTACATCCTTCCCCTCCTCCTGCTCCTCCCTAACTCCCCTCACTACCTCTACTAATTCCTCAGAGAGAATAAGGTCTCCCATGGAAAGTCAACTGGCATGCCTGTTGATGGACTCAATAAAGAGCATATTTTTATTAAAAACTATATATGTGTACACACACATATATAGTATATTTAGTATTGTGATATAGTCAATGCTTTGTTCTTAGAAAACACTCAGTAGCTGTTTAATAAAATAAAAGAAATGTTTATTTATAAAATATATTAGTGTCTTGAATATTGCCAAGGAGATGCAGTAAGTCTGGAAAAACTTTAAATCCCATATACGTATATGTATGTAATAGGATTTTATATAATGTCAATATATAGGATTTTATAAAATGTACATATATGTATATAATAGGATTTTATATATATAAAGAGAGGAAAGCTTTTTATTTCTTCTTTAGATATCATACATAGTCAGTGTTTGAGTTTGACAAAAGCTGAAATTCACTTTCAGTAATTCTTTGTTGTCATCACTTTATTAATATAAACATCTTTAAATGTTTCAGTTAGTTATTCAATTGTTAGTTAAACCATACACCCAGGACCTGGAAAGATGACTTATTGATTAAGAACACTTAATGATTTTTCAGAGGACCAAGGTCTGGTTCCCATCACCCACGTGGTGCCTTTCAACTATCTGTACCTCTGGTTCCAGGGGATCCAAGGCCCCTTTTCATATATAACACACGGTATGCATGTACACATATTAACAAAGAACTTAAATACGAAATAAAAATGAACATATGTTTAAAGAAATTAAAAATTAACATCACTCCCAGTTAACTGTCATTTGGACTTTCAGGAATGTGTTTAGTATGTTTAGTTTTAGCTAAGCCACTCAATTTTGTTTTTGCTCTCAGCACTTGGTCAAACCACTTGTTTTATTTACTTTACTGCTAGCTACTGTGTCAGAGCAGAATAAGTTGCCTAAACTGCATACATCAATACAGGCTTGGAGAATAAAATTGTACAGGGTGAGTTTGATGCATTGGTCAGAGAAAACCATTTGGCACTCTTTCATCCTAGAATTCGGCTTATAGAGAACTCTTTCAATGCAAATATCTCCCTATCTTCAGATTGTATTCACTAGGTAAAATCTCATGAAATCTCTGTCTTGCTTTGCTTTACCATGCCTATATGTTATCATCACTTGAGAATCTTTAAATTAGAATAGGAACATAAGCAACAGAAAAATAGTCCTTATTAATAGGTCAGTGTCAGCTTGAGGCTCTTATCATGCCTTTTCATCATCTAATGTGATGGGGGCGGGCATCTCTGAAGGAAGTGCCACCTAACGAGGATTATAGTGTAGCAGGCTTTGTACAGCCAGGCAAGTGTGTTTGTTTCCACTGGCCTTCTTCCTTTATCCTAGTGCTTAAATTTTCTCATCAAAGTTCTTATTGTCACTAAATACATAGCTAAGAATACTTGGCAGAGGCAGTCCATATAAAATGGACCCAGTTTCAACTTTCTATAAATTATTTTAAATCAACTATAATTATACTCGGTGCTTACTTTGTATCCAAACTTTAATTCATTTTAATATAAAATAAGAGCAAGCTTAATGTGTTGCATCCTTTAAAAATCTATATTATTTTTCTTGTAATACTTCATAAAAAATTGCTTAATATTTAGAATATTTCAGTGCGATGCTAGGGGAACATGCTCAATGAACAAGGGATAAAGGGCTACACTGAGGGTGAGATATTAATCATTTTGTGACATTCATGAGTTTCTGTGGTCTAACATTAGCAATGTATGTTTGTTTACACTACTAATTTTATTTAGAAAATATAGAAGTATAATAATATTAACAATGGTAATATGTTTTAGAACAGGAAAAGAAAGAAAAGCCCACAGAACTAGGTAATTATTTTAATGTTTTTCTGCTTTTTTAATTATTTATTTGGTACTTGAAAACTGAAATTTAATGGATTATCACAGATTAGTGATTTTCCTCTTCTTTTCTTGTTTCACACAGCAAAGTCACCAAAATTGGAATCTCCAGGTGAGTGAGATTGGAGTAGCTCAGTCAATTTTACCCATGTCAAACCTGAATCGGGATTATAAAGGCAATGCCAGATTAAGGCAGGAAATCTGTCATCTCATTGTCTGTTTTCTAAGGTCTTTATAGAATCAATATCAGTACAGTTTGAGAGTATGTAAATTGAATACTGTGTTCTTCCTTTTTTTTGCTAAACTAGTGTCTATGAACTAGCAGTATCAGGTCCTCTAATAGGTTGCTAGTATGAATATCTAGTCTCCCCTCAGACCAAGTAAGTCAGAATCTACATCTTAGTAAGATCACCTTTCATCCATTTGGGCAATATTTGAGAAACACTATTGTTGGAAAAATCACCCAGCAAAAGCAACCTGTGATGAAGGATTTATTTATCTCAAAGTACAAGGGTATAGTCCATCAGGACATAGGAGAGCTCAATGCACTAAGTTACATCATATTCACAGTCTGCATGGAGAGAATAATGACCGCTGGGTCTAGCCCAGGACCACAGCTCGTGGGTGCCCATGATTGCCGTGGGTTTCCCTCTTCAACTCATCTGGTTTAGATAACCCCTCACTCACATGCCCAGACAATTGTCTCCTCAGTGGGTCTTGAGTCCAGGAAGCTGATTATCAGCAACGACAATCACCAACACTGGTTTCTAGATACACTTATGATTAAAGCAGACAAGAGAAGGCAAGAATAAAACATTTCTGTGAATGCTCTCCTCACATTGTTTTACTTTTGAAACACAAGATATTCAACTCCCGAAAATGTTCTCTCCTGTTCATAGAATTGATTAACAACATTTTGGACTGCTCTGGGGTGTTTCTCTCAATATAGCAACATCCTAAGATTAGAAAATTAAAACCAGTCAACCAGACAAATAAAACAACTGAAATTAAAAATACAGACAATGTGGACATGAAATCATTTTCTTAAGGTTTTCTAAAATTTAACCAGTTCAAATAAATTATTCCAGTTTATAATTTCTGAAATACTTAAATACTTTCAGTTGACCTTGCCTTAAACACTACCTATAGCTTTTTCTTGGTAGTTTTTATTTTATTATTTAAAGTTATTTACTTTATTCTACTATTTAAAGAATGTAACTGAGGCTTTTGTACACAGTCTTTGTGTGTGTGTGTGTGCTCGCACGCACATGTGTACAGGACATATGAAGATGTGTGTATACAAGATGTGAGTGTACACGTTTGTGCAGGCGATGACTTTTGGAGAGTGTGGGTGTGAAGATGTGTGTATGTGCAGAGGGTGTGCATGTTTGCGGGTGAACATTTCCTCAATTATCCTCTCTGCTGCTCCTATCACATTTCATTGTATTTAAAATGAAACAACATTCATTTAACATTACGTCACTAGCCAAGAGAATACAGCCAAAGCTTAGCATATCTATAACCTCTTGCTAGAAGTGTTCAAACCTACGTTTCTTATTCTTGGGCCAACTTTGTAATACCTTCTGAGATGAACAAAGTCTGCTTGGACATCTTTTCAACTTCAATAGCAGTTTTTTTTCTTATGGTTATCATAGATTTTAATATGCTGATTTAATTCCCTTTTCTTTTCTGGGCTTTAAAACATCAGAAGACAGAGGATACAGATGGGATTTAGCTTTTTATTCTCAAAATTGACTTTTATAATTCCAGATACACAATGAGCACTTGATAACAGTTTATTAGTTGAAGAGATGAACATGAAATAGAGTAATAATTGGCTCTAAAGTATAAAAACTAAATAATTTTCAGACACGTAATCTAAGAGGTGAAATAATAGCATGTTTCATTATTTCACAATAACAGTCAAACTTACCACTTAGAAAAGTGATGCTTTGTCTGCATTATAGATTGGTGCCTATTTATTCAGGAGTGCATTCCCACAGTAATAACGAATACATGCTCATATTTACACATATATATGGTAGTCAAAGATAGAGCATAAATTATGGAAAACATGCAGAATTATACACAAGATCTGACATGAGCAATTTTGACGGATCAGTATTATTCCTATGTATTATAGCTAACTACAATAGTCTGTCTGCGGTCACTGTATGCACATCTGAAGGTGTGGGTGCAATGCACCAACTTACTAATACTCAAGCATTTTCATTTGGTTTTGCTTTAATTTTAGAGACAAGGCCTTCCTATGTAATTCTTTCTGTCCTAAAACTCACTATGTATATAAGGCTGGCCTCAGACTCACAGAGATACTCCTGCCTCTGCCTCTCCAGTCCTGGGACTAAAGGTGAACAATACCATGCCTGGTTAATTAAACATTTTTTTTAAGAAAGTGGAAACTCCCATGAATTTACAAGGATTACTCTAGCTAAGACTCTTTTTTTTTTTGGTTTTTCGAGACAGGGTTTCTCTGTGGTTTTTTGGAGCCTGTCCTGGAACTAGCTCTTGTAGACCAGGCTGGTCTCGAACTCACAGAGATCTGCCTGCCTCTGCCTCCCGAGTGCTGGGATTAAAGGCGTGCACCACCACCGCCCGGCCTCTAGCTAAGACTCTTAACAATGCCTGAACTGACCCTCTCCTTTGATCAGATTGGTGACTATCCCAAGCATCATCAGAGAGCTTTCATTCAGTAACTGATGGAAACAGATGCAGAGATCCCCAGACAAATATTAGGTGGAGCTCAGGGAATCCTGCCGAAGTGAGGAAGCCAGAAGTGTCAAGGACATCACAAGAAAACCCACAGAAACAACTAACCTGGCTTCATTGGAGCTCACAGTCTGAACCAACAACCAGGGGACCTGCATGGGACCACCTAGCCCTCTACATATATGTGACAGTTGTGTAGCTTGTTCTGCTTGAAGAACTCCTAACAATAGTAGCAGGGGTTGTCCCCAATGCTTTGGCTGGCTCTTGGAAACCTATTCCTCATAGTGTATTGCCTTGCCTAGCCTTAATACAAGGGGTGGTACTTAGTCTTACTGCAACTTTATATGTCATGCTTTGTTGATGCCCTCGATACTTTCTGAACAGAAAGAGGAGTGAATTTAGGGAGAGGGCTCAGAGGAGGGAAGATGGAAGGAGAAGAGGAAGGAAAAATTGGTTAGGATGTAAAATAAATAAAATAAATTTTAAAAGAAAGAATTACTGGATAATTTTTAAAAAATAATTTATGTTCTTTGGGACAGTCTTATAGATTTGGGAACATATATTTGTCTAAACATGGAAGCAATCAGGTTGTTTGATAATTTTTGAAAGTAGAGTAAATACAGCACGAGCAAATACTGAAGGATGTATGAACTCACTTTCTACAGCTTCCCAAATCTTTGGACTTTGAAATTCATTTTAGAGGACCACAAAGAAAACTACAAAGCTACATTTTCTCCTCAGATCTATTTTTTTCAGTGTTATACTTGCTATCTCCCAAACAACTATATCTCAAAGTTATTTAAAATAAATAAAAAGCTACTAGTTAATGAAAACTGATTTTTTTTCTTCTCATTGCAGCTCCAAGTGAAAAACCTGGGAAAGCAAGTATGTGAATTACTCACCTGCATTTTTTTCTGTAGACCTTGTTAACACTTCTTTTTGTGTCCCTCTTGTCCATGTTTCTATATGATTAATTGTTATGGTGAAATAATGTGCAAGATAACTCATCTGGCTTTCTTTGTGTTTGTCCTAATGAAAATTTGTCAGTGAGCATCCGTTTGTGAGTTTCCTTAATTTAGACCATAATTCTGTATTCTGTCACATCTGTTTTTGTATCTCATAGAGCTAACAACAGTTCCATTTTCTTACACATTTCCTAATTAACTATCTAAAGATCCTATTAATACCTTTATCAAGCTTTTTAGCAATGTACTTTGTCTACCATGATAGTTGACATTTCAATGGAATGTAGCCTTCCTAAAATTTTATTAAGATTTCTTTTGTAGAGTTTCACTTTTCTTAATGTTTATATCCTCATATTCGGAAATTATTCTGAAAACGTATGACAGATGCATCAGTGGCAGATCTTGAAACATTCTTAAGGAGAAATGCTTGTTTGTTGCTTATTATATTTTAGTTTGTTGAAATAGTTATTTCAATACTGTTATTAATTGACATTAAGTGCAATATGAGGCATTTGCTTTTAGGAAAAATACTAACTTCCTTATGCTTTATCTATAAGATTAATAATAGAATATATGCTGCATATACTATAGAATGAATTTATATTTTTATTTTAAGTTGAAGGTGAATAAACATTGATCCTGGTACTGACATATAAAGAAGCCCTATATTTTATTTAATGTTTTATTTTTAAAACAGTATATTATTGACAGATATATCACAGAATAATTGAAATATTTGGTAGTTTGATGTCTTTTAAAAAATGGTCTACAAAGCTAGTTCCAGGACAGGCTCCAAAGCCACAGAGAAACCCTGTCTCGAAAAACCAAAAAAAAAAAAAAAAAAGAACATTGCAATTTCATTTGTTCGCAAAGACATTAAAAAGTTATAGATATTGAAAAAGAGTAGCTTAGGGTTAGAGAAATGATTCAACAGTGGAAAATACTTGGTGCACTTACAGAAGACTGGAGTTCTTCAGATCAGTTCCCAACACCCATATTGGTTCACAATTATCTATAACTCCAGTTCCAGATCATCCAATGTCCTCTCATAATATCAATGGGCATTCAAAATCACTAAAACACACACATATGCAATCTTAAAAAAATTAAAAAGTACTTTATTATGACCTATAATTCTGTTTATATTTTCATGTAAAACTGTAAGTTTAAAGCTGAATGTAAGGCTAACTGAAACTTTGTATTATAGATTGTTTAGTATGCTAAGCCATGGAAATGCATAATCAAGAAAATGTAGAAAGTGAAACTGATAATTTTGCATTGCTCATAGAAAACTTTAGATTGAAAATTACTTAGAAAATTAACATTTCTCATGAAGAAATGTAACATACAGATAAAAATATTCATCCACAAGAATAAAATCTAGAATTATGTCCATCTGTGCAGCACTGTTCAATCACATTCTGAAGAGCTAAGCATCTTTTGCAGAAAACTAGTAAACTAGCTTGCCAAATGATTTAAACCCAATATAAAATTTAAAAAGAGTTAGTACCCAACCACTTATGACATATGGGATTAAACTGAATATTAGTCTTTACTTTAAATTAATTTAAAATGATTCATAAGCCCTTGTTTCTTAAAATTATCTATTATAATTATGATTAGACATTTATCTTGAAATTGGCCTTTTAGGTATTGAAATCATAAAATAACAGATTTTACTAAGTTACTGTACACTATAAGGTTACTGTAGACTATAAGTTTAATGCTAAGGGGAAAGTTGCATAAATTTTGGATATTTTTGAAAAGTCTTTAACTTGACAATATAATGTATTGTGAAGTTTCTAGGTATTACCAGAGTGTCTGGTTTATTATTTTAAATCATAATAGTATGTAAGACAATTAGATATATAGGTAAATGTACATAAAGCAGATATGTATGTGATTCCATATCGTGACACTGAATTTAAAACCAAAGGTGAGATTAATAGAAGAAAAGTTCATGGAAAATTAATTTTCCTTAACCCTGGATTCATAGCTACAAATTAAATTGAGTTAATAGGAAAAACCCATCTACCCAGATCCTGAACATTAAGTAATATCACTGTAGGAGACACACTTATCAGTTTGAAGCAGAGGCTTTTGTGGGTCCTATGATCATTACAAAAGATAGAAACTGTCCAAGTTTCAATGACACGTACTATTAAGGGGATCTTAATGTCCCTGCAATGCTGTGAGGTGAAGGTGATGAAGAAAGAGTGTCTTGGGAAATACAGAAATGTCAGGCCTGTTGTAAGGTGGAGGCTGCTTGTTTGTCCCAGCTGCCCAGAACCAAAATAGCCACACAGAAACTGTATTAATTAAAACACTGCTTTGCCCATTAGCTTTTGTTGGCTAACTCTTACATCTTAATTTAACCTATTTCTATTAATCTGTATATCACCATGTGGCCTACCAGCAAAGTTTCAGCAGGTTTATCTCTGGTGATGGCAGCTTCATGGCACCTCTTTCAGACCCTACCCTTTTTCCTCCCAGCATTCAGTTCTGTCTTCCCCACCTACCGAAGTTCTGCCCTATCAACAGGCCAAGGCAGTTTCTTTATTCATTAACCAAAAAAAAAAAAAGAAAAACGCAGCACACAGATAGAAGGACCCACACACACCACAGAACTATATTTAGAGTTTCTGAAAGTTAATATAAATTATTTTGTACATCTGGATTCAAGCCAAAAATGCCTCCAAACACCCATTTCTTCCTCCACCCGCTTGAATGTATATACTACATTGAACATTGGATATTATAGTGCTGAGACTGACAATGATTGTTAACAGGTGGGATTTTAGAGAATTGATTATGTAACATATGCATTACCATTCATGGTAAATTTCAAAAGGACATTATGTTCCCACTACTTACTAAAATACATTTGGACATCATCCCTATTTTACTGTCAATGGTCACACCAAGCACCAGTGCTTTGAAGGTCTTTGTAAACATTGCTTTAGTTGATTCTTTTCATATTGAGTAATTCAAGGGCTTAGAACACCTAGTTTATATTATCCAAAACTATCCTCTGGTCAATTGTGCTATGAACAAAAAATTTACCTGACAAGACAGATTGAAAATTTATTTATATAAATTCATTTGAAATATCAACAATGGTCTATTTTTTACCCTCTGATTTTACCACTGAACATATTTTTGTATGTTCAGCCAACAAGCAGAGGTTGTTCTTTCAAACTTTACTCCTCTACTAATGTACTCTAGAATTATTTGAGAACAGACAGTATGCAGAATTAAAGATTAAGGGAATTTTGAATTTAGGCATTTATCATTGAACATGTGTTTGGAGGCATTTATACCAAGATATTGGATAAATTATTTTAATATCACTGGACTATTTCTTTAAAAAATAAGGTATATAGTCTTATTCTGATTTAGTAAATTAGTGGTTGTAGATTCTCTCTCAGTGACCATGATTTCATAGAATAGTTAGCTAGAGTTAAAATACCAGGCATGGTATTCCTTTTGTTGAGTGGATATTAAGACCAATTACAGAGCCATTGGTTACTGCCAAGGTATGTGTGATACTATTACACTTGTAAGAATGTCATGCCATGCTGATCATTGATGTGATTCATAGGTATTACATGTGGATGGGACTCTTGATTACTTCTCTTATTTGGAAGCTTGCATGTACTTTCTTTTACCATAGAAGCTAGACTTTATGGAGGGGACATTCAAGTCAGCTCTAGCTCAAGGGCTTCTGGATTGTGTTCTTGAAGTGCATATTGTCTTCAGAAATAGAGATCTACCTTCCACCTCTTGCATTAGCCAAGGCCAAGAGCTGTATCTTAGATAACTTTAACTAATAACTTAAAAGAGACTTTTCATGTCTGGTATTTAAGTTTGTGTTAGGTGGCCTTTGACTCTTAGAGGGAGTGCCAGCAGCAGAGATGAGAAAACTTAATTAAAACTACAAAAGTATATGGAGAAATATATAGGAGTGTTCTTCTAGGATGGGGACTTTTAAAACCCTATAAAAAAGTCTAAGCCATAAATTTTAAAATCAAATTATAAATATAAAATTTATAATAAATACTAATATTAAGATCTTTGTCATTAGATAATACAAGTGATAGTAATATACAAATGTTAATAACATCAAAGTATAAAAATATGATAATAATGAACAACCTCAAATAATGAAATGTTGATAAAATGAGATGGGGATCATTACAAAGATTTGTTATCTCATCTGATTTTCTTTCCCCCAGCCCAGAAAATTATAGAAAGTTGGTCAGCCTTTGATTTGAAATGGAAAACCATGTTCTAGGAATACATTTCATTTCATATCTTTGGTTTGGCCTTCTCATTTTCCTTACCAGATAATTCATATAACTTCAGTGGAGCAAAAGTTTTGCCTTTTAAATAGTTACTGTTTCTTGCAGCAACAACTTAGTTGAGCATTTATATCACCACTAATACTTAATAATACTTACACCACCAGATATTCAGGTCAAATATCCTTCACCACCTAGACAATTAAAGAGTGAACAAAGAAGGGCTTTACAAGTTCTTCCCTAACATTCATAAATCACCTAAACTGTGACTATATACACTTAATCTAATATCTCTTTTTGTGGAATAAGCTACTCTTTATTGGCACTACTTACGTAAGAATACAATTTTGATATCACAGAATTATACCTCGCTAAAGGAAGTTTACTTAGGGTTAATTTATCAAAAAGCAAAAAGCGATAAAAGTGTTTTGCAGTTCAGCTTTCTCTGCAGCTTGCTTTTCTCTCTCCTAGACAATATATGCATTTTACGTTTTGATTATCTGTGTTCTTGCCTGACTATATGTTATTATTCTGAAAACTCTGATATCCATTGCTTACTCTTTGTATAACTAAATTTGCAGAAGCTGAACGATCCAAAGAAGAGATTGCAGCTGCCTCAACCAAAAAGGGTATGCACAACAGAAAAATCCTGATATGACTATAATTGATCTTGAAGCTTTTAACTTAGTTTGTGTAGTGTGTTGAGAGGAACTTTGCCTGCCAATTCTGCTATTTCACTGATACAGAAACCAACTTTGCATGGTGCTTGTAACATCTACACTAACTAGGTTTTATGTTTAGTTCTCTAGTGTACTTAGATCTGATCCTCTAGAGATATAAATTAATGTTTGTAATTGTATTCAAAATACAGTTTTTGAAAATATTTATAAATATATTGCTTAAATCCAATATGATTTCAGTCAACTATAGGATATTTGGGTACACCATGCTACTTTAAAATAGCAGGTATTACATATATTAAAATTTGACTAAGAAGACTCACATAAAAATGTTCATTTTATATGAAAATAATATGGAATTAACAAATATATCCCATGAAATACTAACATAGGACATTTAGCTTTGAGAAACAAATTAGGAAGTTTGTTGAGAAATCAGTAATTCTAACAATGTCTTTAAAAGTATCTCATAGGAATATTTAATAAGACTTACCTTCTTTATACTTTCACACTTGCAAAAATCTACACATACACCCTTACATACATATTCTACTAAAATGATATTATGTGTACAAAAAGAGCACATACATAAAAATATAAAAACTAATAAAATATACATGATGCCTATTTGCATGTTTTTTAACATTATATGTAAACATAAATTAATGTTCCACACCCATGAATGTATTACTAATTGATATGCACAATATATACATGTTACTAATTGATATACATAATATATACATGCTACTAATTGATATACATAATATATACATAAATTGATATATACATATAATATATACACAAACATGCTTATATCATTTTATGTAAGAGATAATATTATGTTTAATTGATATAATTTTACTATAAGTGAGAGAATTCTAAATTAGCATAGCTTTATATGGTATCATATTCTGAAATTGACATGCCCAGATTAATGACTTTTTTATTGTCTAAATCCTTAGCTTTTTCATAATACCATGATATCATTCATTCTGAAACAACTGCATTTACATCACACAGTATTAATAGGCATGTCAAGAAGGAAGATGAAGGCAAGATGTATTCAGATCTGTAGCTAACAATGACACCAACACTGTGTCCAGAAAACAGCAGATGTTTTTCTTCTATAATATGATTGCAGATAATATTATCTTTGGGTAATTAGTGGTTGTAGAAAAGAATGTGATGATGATTTAAAAAAACAAATATTAAGCTACTGGTATCGGATTCTTACATGGATTGAAGTATTTTACCTTGAGTATTAGGGCATAAATACAAATACTGACAATTTACAATTCAACCTTGTAAAAGCCAGAGTAAATCATGATATGAAATCAAAACTGTATAATCAGTTATGGAACTCATCAGATTTCACAACTAATAATGTCATGATTTTATAGCATGGCCACTCTTTTTGTTGGAATGAGCTTGCTGGCTAAGTTTTTGGAGTCAAATGACAGAAAACAATCTATTTATAAATAAACATAAGATATTAAAGCCAACTTCTTTGGTAATTCATCTTCTGTCTCAATTTTTGTTTTAAGTATGTTGGTACATATTTAGTTTGGTAGAAAATGAAAAATCAACAGAATCACACATAGCTTTTAAAGCCATTACAAATAAACTTAGAGCTGGGCAGTGGTGGCATACACTTTAATCCCAGCATTCAGGAGGCAGAGACAGGCAGATCTCTGTGAGTTCTAGGCCAGCTTGGTCTACAAGACAGGCACCAATACAACAGAGAAACCTTGTCTCAAAAAAATAATTAAACAAACTCAGGAAGTGTCTTACATTATTAACAAAATTACAAAACAGCTTTAAAACTGATTTTTATCATTTGTTAATTACTATACACATTCCTTTTCTCTAAAATGTAGTACATTTATTATTCTCTCATGTATATGGCATCCACAGCATTTAACACCTTATAATGTCTCATAATTAAATAGTATAAGAAAATTTAATTAGTGGCTGTTATTTTTTTCCAAGTTAATTTTGAGTTTAGGACTGTATATGATAGAGTGAACACTGTTGATTTTTTTGATCATTGTAAAATTTTCAAAGTTATGAATAATTCAACTATAGTTCAGTAAGTGAGCTCTAATGTTCTAATTTATCACTTGCATGAATTATTTTGCTTTAATACTTAATTTAAGATACATAATATTAAATCCTCATTTGATACCATTTGTTTTGAAATTCACAATTTTCAGTTCCATTCAACATAATCCTATGTATACAATACTAGGAATAAATTAAAAGAAAAGATGGGGGTTAATTCTAGACCTAAGAAGGTAAGATATTGGGAAAGATGTACTCTATTTTTGCTACTTGAAGAAGTTTTCAGCAAAACTGTAGCTCTAGTCTGAAGTCTAACAGGGAGATAAATTCAGAAGTGACATGGTAGTTTAAATTTTATTCTTTCTTGGAAAACATCAAAAGATTTGTTCTGCAGTGACCTTAGAAGTAAGCCTTTAATAACAGATATCTTTCCAATGGGAGAAGGATTTATAAGAGCATCTTTGGTCTAAGCAATACAGGGAGACAAGGCAATAAGGCTTTTCAGGATGTATATGAGGATCAGTATATCTCAGGAGGAGTCCCAGGTCTCAAAGAGGCACGCCATTGTTGCTGTGGCTCATGCCGATGGTGAGTCACTTGCTAAAGCAATGAAACCTGTTAGTCCTTAAATAATTCAAGTCCACAGCAGGAACTTTCAGTTTATCTCTGCTATGTGTGTCTTGTGAGGAGTTTCTAATGTCAATTAGTCTTCAGTTTCTCTTCATAGTCTTTGAACTTTACTTATGAAGTCTTTGCATACTTTTACTGTATACACACTGCTTGTTGGTATCCCAGAGATTCTGCTATTAGCTGAAGCATCATATTCTTTCCTTGACTTATGATGTGTAGATCACAATACTGCCCTATATTCTAAATATTAGCATTGTATCTCCATTTTGGATTTTTCTATTCATTTCAGGCTTCTGTTCTCAAATGTTCAATTAAACAGCTTCGGATTCAACCCTCCTCTACTCAAACTGGCTCATTTCTCCTTTCTCACTTGCTTTCATTAAACACTGTATACCTTACTAGAAATCTGGAAACAATTTTGTGTTTTCTTATTTTTACTACTTGATTATTTAAACAATCTTAATGTTTGCAGCCTATAAAATTTCCTGTTTATGTTCATAACATACTGTCAACACATTTCAGTCTTCATTGTCTTCTATCTGACCTACTGTCATGATCAAATGACTTACCTTGAATGTTTATGTTTGTATTAAAACTCACTAAAGCCATAGTGAATCATCAAGCCACAGCACTGAACAAACCACTTTATTTAACTTCTCATTTCTCCAGCCATTCATAAGAGGAGGTCTAGCTTCATTAAAATGATTAAGAGAATTCCCATGACCTGTCTGCCATGACTTTTTCTAAATTCACCTTCAGACATGGACAACTTTATGTATACAATAACACTATATTGCACATAATTCTAAACATACCTATAAAAGTTAGCAGAAGATGGATATAATTAATAAATACTTTACATCATCTGATAACTGATAAAAAATTACTATTTTATGGAGCTGGAGAGATGGCTCAGAGGTTAAGAGCATTGCCTGCTCTTCCAAAGGTCCTGAGCTCAATTCCCAGCAACCACATGGTGGCTCACAACCATCTGTAAAGAGGTCTGGCGCCCTCTTCTGGCCTCCAGGCATGCACACAGAGTATTGTATACATAATAAATAAATAAATGTTTAAAAAATTACTATTTTTTCTACCATATGTCCCCAAAGATCTAATTAATATTACTTTTCTGTCTACAGATATTTATGCATTTTGTTAATTCAGTCATTCTCATTTTTAAATGGTACTTTTGGGCTGGTCACATTAAATACAGCAAAATAACATCTTATTATTCCAAGGCTAGGTTGTAGTATATAAGTGTGATATCAGGGACTTTTGAAACGGTATACTACATCTCACCTGTTAACCAAAATCCTATCATCCTCCATATTTAGATAATACTCATTGCCTATGATGCTAATGGAGATATTAAACTTCATGGATGATGATTAGCAATTAAGAAGAGATGAGGGATTTGGGTTTTTAAGGGATATTTAAAAGAACAATAATGAAAGCCTGGCGATGGTGGCACACGCCTTTAATCCCAGCACTCTGGAGGCAAGGCAGGTGGATCTCTGTGAGCTTGAGACCAGCCTGGTCTACAGAGCTAGTTCCAGGACAGGCTCCAAAGCCACAGAGAAACTCTGTCTCGAAAAACCAAACAACAACAACAACAAAAACAAACAAACAAACAAAAAAAACAAACAACAACAAAAAAGAACATTAGTGAAATCCAGCAAATACAGAATCTGACCAGCAGTGCCTCCATTTCTCAATCTCAACCATTTTTCTTCAAATTAGGCCATTTTCATTGTTGTTATTCTCTTACTTAAAAATCTAGTATTATTTATATTAAAATCCACTTCATTTTTGTTTGTTAAGCTATTGTATATTTCTTCTTTTTTAGTCTATCTTGACTGATTTCTAGGTATTCTTTCTGTATGAATTAATATATTAATACTTAATTGTAACTTTATTTAACCTATTTCTTATCTTAATTAATTATGTTTATATATCCTTAGATAACACTGGAAATTAAAGAACTCTTTTGTGTAAAAAGAATAATTTTATTTCAGGCAGATCAAAACAGAAGAAAAGAAGAAATTAAGAAAGGAATGTAGAAAGAAAAAAGAAAGAAAGAAAGAAAGAAAGAAAGAAAGAAAGAAAGAAAGAAAGAAAGAAAAAAAAAGAAGGAAGGAAGGGAAGGAGGGAGGGAGGAAGGAAGGAAGGAAGGAAGGAAGGAAGGAAGGAAGGAAGGAAGGAAGGAAAGGTGATGTCTACCTAATGTGGATTACAATTGCCATAAGTGATCAGATTTTGTTTTTGTTTCTGTGTTGTTGTGTCTCAGTACAACACTAGAATCACTACCTGCATTATCACTTAAAAATTAGATAAGGTGTCATCATTGAAACAGCAGTTATATGGCAAAGTGGGAATGTACACCTGAGAGCCTTATTCACTCTTCTGGGATACATAATCCTTGTACAAATTATACCACAAATCCAAACCATGGGTTCATTTTTTTTAACTGCAATTCAGTTGTGAGAATTTGTCACTGTAGGAATGCAATAGGCTCCTGTCCTAGATGGTTGTCAGTTCCTACACTCTTTGAATTGTCCTAATCTAACACTGATTTCAGTTTAACAGGAATAGAAAATAAAAGCACAATCCTAATTGGCATGCCCCTGGATGTCCTCCCTATTCAGAAGATGTTTCTAGAAATGGGATTTGTGAGACTTGGAAATTCTAATTTGCTTTGGAACTGAACGTTTTCCTTACTCAAGAGTTTCATTTGTGGGTTAGAATAATGATTCTTTAAAACCTACTTCTTTTTATTTCTAACAATTAAATATTCGAACTTTGGAGTGTGTGTGCGTGTGTGTGTTTTTTAAGGGGATACATAGAAGGACAAAATCCATCATATCCTCCTTTGTTTTTTTCTTGTTTTCTTCCTTTGTTCTTTACTGACCCCTCCTATCTTCCTCTCTCCACTACTCTTTCCCACCTTTCTCTTCTTCAGAAGTAGTCACCAATGAATATTTTTGTTTACCTGATGGCTTCTTTCAGATATTGTTTGACATGCTCACTACATCTGGCATTTGATTAAAATGAAAGCTGAATCTTTGGTTTCACTGAATTCCATTTAGATGCTTTGACAAGAACACTGCAGAATATTCAACACATTGCATGCTCTCTCATCGGGAAGCAGCATCTCTCTAGAGGCCCCCAGTGAAGAAACACTTCTGTTTCCAAAATGAGCAAAGCCAGCTGCAGACTCACTTATTCATTTTAAAGCTGCATTTTCTCCTCTGCAACTCTCCGTAGGATTGGTTGTAATGACATTATTCATTTCCACATCAGTTCTGCAGCTAGTAGATGTTCAAATTCTCTGAAGATCCCTTCTTGAATCAGTTACTTCAGCTGGAGGCAATAATTTTGCATGAAAAATTTCTGCTCATTTGACGTTTAACTAGGTAAACAGCAAATCCTCGATTGAGAGCAATAAATCTTAGAGAAAGCATGAATCAGGGTATGTAGTGCTTTAAAAGATTCCGTTATCTCTTTTGGCTCCTTGTGATGTGGGATGGGTTTCCTTAATATTTAAATGCTTCTCAGGCGTGACTGCACTGCCCTCTCAGTTGATGAAGACATGCTAAGTTTAAATTTTAAAGTGCATCTGGTTGACATTTGTAAGATACTGTGTCTCTAGCAATAACCTGGAATGTAAGTCAATTAATCATAATCCTGTCAAGTACAATTCTTTGTAGCTTGTTTATAAAAACACATCATACAGGAATAAAGTAGAAAAGAGTGTGGAAGAATCAGCCTGGACATCAAAGAGATTATTGCTTCTCTTTTTTGGTACTAATACCTTAAGATTAGATTTAAAACAGATTTCAATCGCTTTATAGAGAGATGAGAAATATTTTAAATGCATTAGAGTAGAGCTTGGTTAGAAGCAATATTTGGTATTGAATGCATCCCCAAATGCTTCTATGTGTAGAATACATATTTCAGACTTAAATTTTTATTTAAACCTTATCTTTGCTTTGCAGCCATGCACGGAAAGAAAGAAGAGAAAGCCAAGACAGTGGAGCAAGGTAAAAAAAAAAAGTGAAGCAGGTTGACATTATCTTCTTTAGAAAGAAAACAACATGAGGAGGAAAACACTGGATTCAGACAGGCAGAAGACAATAACCTTTAAATCTCTTGCTCCATAGCAATGTCCTTTCACGTGTTTTTTTTTTTTTGGACAGGGAGAATGTGAGGCAACTATCTGGTCTTGTCTTTCTTCTGTGTATTTAGCTTTGAGTATAAAGCAGAACAGGAAACCTATACCGACTGCTTCATTGCACCGCAGAGATGCTGAGGGGTATTGATAATGAGAAAATGAGCTAGGTAATGAGTAGACACTTTTCTGTATGGGTTTTGATTTCAGTACCACCTCACAGGTGATAGCCTGAAGAATAAACATAATTCAGCCCAATTTATTAAAAATAATTTATATTGCTTTAAAAAGAATTTGTTAAAGTTAAGGCACTGGGGCAAAGGGAAGCAAAAGTTTATTACAGTTTATGTGATGACTTTGGTGGCTGATTGCCTGAAAATTTAGTATTAAACATTATAAAGTCATAATTTTATGAATATATATATATTGTTTAATATAGCTATACCACAATATCACTCCAGAATATGCTTTAAAATCCTCCTGACCATGGTCTCTTATCATGGAGAGCGATATTGTGCTTATTCCTGCAGCTTAACTAAGTTAAAAGATTTAAAGACTTTTATAGTGAAAATAGCATAATAATTATATTGATAAAATTTTCCATTTATTTGGCTTCTGGGTACCACCGACCATTTAAGGAATCAATGCAATGTTTCAGCCAACTCTGTTTGAGTAAAAGTGTCTACATTAGTGTCTAAAATACAAAGCACAAACACAGGATCATGTTTTGGCTTGCTCACTTATGCAGCTTTCCATATTGAAATTTCTTAGTCAAAATGAAAACAATCATTCCCAGTCTGCTTTACTGACAAAAGACAGTTTAGCCCAAATAAAATATCTTATGAAAGGATACAACAAATTATAAATTCCTAAATTGCATATATACTTATTTAGGTCATTTTTTCACATGAAAACAGTTCTGACAAATTATCATAGCACACAGTAGTCCACTTAACATCGTGGTTTTCTGTTCTCTAGTCATAACAATTACTTATCATAGCTTGCTTTGCTTCTTATTTTACCATTGTCTTTTTTATGTTTTTGGTTTGGCTTTGTTTTTGTATTCAGGATTTACTTTTGGCCTCAGACATGCCAAGCAGACTCTGTATAATTCAGCAGTATCCCAGGTCTAGTAGAATGTTTTAAAACAGTACCACATGTCCAAAGTAGACTGGCTAGTAATGGAGAATAGTGGTACCTAACATAATTGCTAGGAACACTGAATGCTTATTTAAGAAAGTGTCCCTTTTATTAACTCACTGATGTTTCCTGAATTTGGCAATGGTTCATTAGGATGTGAACTTAATCTTTCAGATATTTCTATTATAATTTTATTAAAATTGCATTTTATCATATTAAAATTTAGCATTGCATGCTAATATAAAGTTAAGAAATTATTTTTATAACAATTGTAAAACATTTCAGTTTTAAATGTATGAGAATGAGCTCTCATATTTTAAAACATAAACAAAAAATTAGTATATTTAAACACATTGCCTTTTTGTGGTGGTCTATTTATGCCAATAGCTGATGATAGATATTTTTAAAACATGAATAAAGCAGAGAGTTTGCATGTGAAAAAAATCTAACTTTGATCTATGTGTTTTATGACAGAATTCTAATATTTATTCTTAAGTGAATATTTTAGAACTCTGTTTTCATTTCTTTTCTACATAGTTTTAGTTAGCTTCAGAAATATTTATTATCTAAATAATGCATTGAGAAAAAACAAATATCATCAAGATACTTTTTCATTCATTTAAGTTTTAACTTGTGGATTTTTTTAGGGAAAACATCATGGTTTAGTTAATTCCTGTCAGATTTCAATGTGCTGTGCTCTATAAAACTCTAGTTGTGCATATTGAACATATAGGTGCATCCCAGCTATGCATGAATACATTAACTCAATCTCACTTTACATTATGGGAGACACTCTTTGGAAATAGTGGAATAATTTCTGATGAGCCTAGTTTATAAAAAAGAGACATCATCACATAGAAGGGGAGACTAGGGGAGCTAAGATGTCCAGAACTCCACAAATTGCTATTTTAGTTTTAGTGTATGATGGGTTATGTCATTTTTATTTTCTTCATGCAGATCTTATATTGGCTAGATTATAGGTTTGAAGATTATGATTTTCTATACCCTTATACTTAAAAGTCATGTAATTAGGAAGACATCCACAAGGTTGTATGTAGGAGTATCAGAACGGCTCTCAATAGACGTGTATCAGAATGGCTTTCAAAAGACATTTCCACAACTTATATGGCTGTGCTTATGGGAGGAATTAGTGTGCTAAAGTTGAACGTGATAGCTATGTGCAGCCATGTACAGATACATCATTACAGTTCATGTACGTGTCTCAAAATCGCGCGTTGTGGTTCGATGATGTAATGTTCATCACTAAAAACTGCTCATTTTGATAATTAATTCATTAAAATTAGATGTTTTTGTGTACTTCTTCAAAGTAGACATGCAGTCGTAAATCATACTTCACTGTCTTTCGATCTTTCTGGTTCTGAAGGAAACAACTGGTGTGGTTTTCTTAGAGCTAGCTAAGGGAGAGCAAACAGCCGCTCTAAAGAAGCACTACAAGCACAGGCAGAGAGCAGTTAAGACAATTCTTTTGGGTCTCAGTAGAAAGGCTGGAGTAAAGCAGGGGGAACGTGGGGAAAAGAGGCACAAATTAATCATTTGTGAATTGTTTTTATTTCTGTCATTCACTCTGATTCGTGAAATTATTGAAGTCATGTTTAGGATTTGTTCTAAGAGCCTCTCACCGTGGCCCATCAACTGATTGTATGCTCAATATATATTTGTTGGTTGATTGCAAACATAGAGAAAAGGTCAAGAAAGAAGTTTAAGCTGAGCCAGATTTCAACAACTTATGCTGAACACATTTTGTAGCTATAAGAATATTCTGTAATGGCAAGTTCTAACAAAAAATGTAGGCAAAAGTTAAAAAGTTAGATTAAATCTTCACCTTATTAATTCAAAAGTAGAAACAATAGAGAAAATTTAATTATTATTCAACAACTCTATTTGTTCTCATATATTTATAGTTGGTTCTTATTCAGAAGTTGGGTGTGATGAACAATCATATGGACTAAGATATGGAAATTATTTAGTTTATTAATTATAAGTATGTTAATGTGAACTTCTTAACAAGGCAAAAGAAAAGAGATAGTTAAATAATTCCTTAATTGTACAAATTCGTGTGCCAAACTCAGTAAAGTAGACCTTATCCTTGCTTTTAAAATAAATTTATATACTTAGGGCAGAATCAAAAGCTAATACTTTTCTCAAATGAAAAATTTCTGATACTCTGATACATGGTTGTTAAATGGAGTATTTCTTACATTAGATTATTATTATTTTATAGGAGGCCTTATGTAGAAAGCCTGTTATTTTATAAGATTGCAATAAAGTCAAACTGTACACTTAAATGTATATGTAAAGTTCAGTATTATAAGGTAACTTTTAAAAGGCTGTAACTAAGTTATTATCTGTAACATTTCATCCTCCTATTAAACAAAATGACCTTACAACCCAGTTAATTTGACACATGACAATTTTTTAAGAACAATATTTGATTTCTAATTAACCAATAACATGAATTTGAATAAATTGTTCATCCCTTTATGAAGTGTAAATTATGAAAGTAAACATCAAAACTATGTCAAGGTTGACTTTGTCTACTAAGATATTCAATGTTTCTTTAAATTTAGAAAGGTTTCAGTACACATAAGCAATCTGATCTGTATGCACAAGAAGGGTTTCTGTCTTTCTTTGGGTTGGATGTGATTCTGTAAACCATGTTACCCATATAATTGTAAGAGCCTTAAAATTTGTCAGGATAAACGGTGGAAAACAAGTACATTTTGTGTGAGCCATTATGTTCCTTTATCTCAGTAGACAATCTTTGTGTATGCACTGGCTATTTTTTAATCTGTGATGTTTAATTATTGAACACTCATTCTGAGTTTAAAGTGAATGTTAAAAATATCTTAGAGCAGTGATTTCCCTGAGACAGTCCTACTTATTTGAATGATTGGGTTTATAGTTTTTGTATACCAAAATTCTTTTTAAAAAGGAAGGAATTTAAACTTTAAAAAATCAATGGAGTAAAACTAAAAAGCTTAGTTGACCCAATTGTATTTAATGATTTGTGTGATGTGTGTTTATAAAAACCAATCTGCATATGTTGATTAAGTCTTGTTGTTGACCCTCAATAAATTTTAAATGATAAAAAATGATTGATTCCTGTGAATTTTAAACCTTTGAAAACTGTTTTACTTCATTGTTTAATATTTATTGAGCGCCCACAACAGGCCAGGCGCTGGGAAGGGTTGTGCTTGACTCAAGAGAGAAGCTGATCTACAAACAACACCAAACAATACCTGCATGTGAACCCTCAATTCTTTTTTAAAACTTATTTTGCATATTTTAAAGAATGTTTAGCAGTTCATTATTTTACACAGTCATATAGACATTTTACTTCATCTTACCCTTATTTAGTACTTTTATATTAAGTCCTTCTCGTCCTTGACTCATACAACCTATAGAAAATTCCTTTTCAGTTCTTACTCTCTTGGTTTTTCCACTGTCTGTTCCATTTTCCCTTCAGTAGACAAAAAGCTCTAAATTCTACATGTCACAGCAGAACACATTACTCAAGGAAGTTTGTTTTTATATGTGTTTCTTCCTCAGAATCACCATCTGCCATGCATCATTTGATGCACGTCATTCAAATTTTTGTTAGTAGCATTGACATTCAACACTGAAGACATTTTTTTTTTTTTGCCTAGGAAATGAACCACCTGAGTCAATGATGATGTTTGGATGTGATGATGAGGATATGTATTAATGTCA